CAAAATTCTGCCAGTGACACCAAGCTTGGAGCCAGGTATTGATCTCCTGTATCTTCCTCGTTTTGTTTTTTTTTTTTTTCCCCTCATAATTCCCTGCAACTGGAAGGATAGAAGAGAACACTCTTAGTGCTCCTGATCCCTTAACCAGTCATTCCAAGTCCCTGAAGTCTCTTTTGATTGCCCTTGGACTTCTTATTGCAATTTCATCACTACCCACATGAAAAACCTTTCTTAGAAAGGTCTGGTTCATGTGGCTCACATTTGAAAATGGTATGTTATACACTTGTTTCTTGATAAATGTAATTCCCACAACTTTTAAATCACATACATTAATGTCTAGTGAATAGGACCCCAGATGTCAGATCCTTCTGATAATGTTATCATTACACCAGTGGTTTAGAGAGCAACACTACTGAGCTGGAGTCTTTTTTAAGCACTAGCACAAAATTTGGCCACAAAATTTGGCTTAAGGGGATTCTCCAGATGGCGAAGACCTGCAGAAATAGCTCTGTGTCACAGGTTGGCAATGAAGCCATGGGCCTGCTGAGAAGAGCAGGTGGCCAGAGGACATGGCGCTAGGGGTATTCCTAGTGAGAAAATACTGCCATGAGCCAACACAGCCCTGGGAGAGAGAGAGAAATGAGTCACATGTGAGATAGCTTGCATTTGCCCATGTTTGACAAGTCGAACAAGAAACTTAGCAAAAGCATGCTAAGTTGTGTGCCTGAAAATATCAGCTTAATCTTCCAAGCACAAAAAATCATTAGTCTAGCTTGCATAGGGTATGGTCTTCTCAGTCCTACAAAGACCAATGTAACTTCATGTGTTTGGTGTCAGATTGCCAACTACCAAAAACTGGGATATTACAACAGCCACACTGAAAGCTCATATTTCACTTACTCCATGTACACACTCCCATGTGTATGGGAATTAGGGGTTGGCATGATAGATGATATTGGCTGCTAATGGCATGTGAAAATATCAGATAGTTTCTCCAAGATCGGAAGGTCTGTTGATAGAGGAACAGCTTTGACTGGCTGACATAACCATTCACAAGTGCTTGCTATTTTTCAAAAGTCTTATGTCACCTTCTAACAGTGAATTAAAAGTGTAATTTTAAAGCTATTGAAAATATGCAGCGGAGTGTTTATGAAGAGTTTATTTTTCTTCTCTGAAATTGTACACATTGTTGTGAGGATTTTGTTGCTGGTCTCTGAATTTGTGCCCAGTTACTGGTCACTCTCCAGAAACTTAAATCTGGCCAATCTAGGTCTCTATCTAGGAGCATAGATAGACTTGTCTCTTTCTCACTCCCAGACCGGTAATGCTCTGCTCGCAACAAGAATAATCACCAGTTTTATTAATTACTGTAATTATGCAATTATATTAGAAGGCCATAAAACATTAAGTGACAATTGCCTCCCATGGTCACTCTCCAGTGGAAGCAGCAGATACTTTGGCTAACCTAAAGGGATACGACATAACTCTGGTAGTCTGTTACTCCCTGGAGAATATAACTCTCAGTTTCTGTGGGAGGAATACCTTCACTGGGTCTAGGAATGGCCTCAAAATGAAAAAGTCACCAAAGTTTTGATTTCTTTTTATCTTTCAGTAGCATTTTATTTTACTGTACTGAAGTGTTATAGTCTACACTTTAGAGCCAGGGAGATTGAAGGATGGTCTCTAAAAATCTCCCTGCAAATTAGTAGTATTCCTTCACTGCACTGCAAATGGTCTGTTTTCCCAGAGACAGTATTTGACAGTATTTGGAGCTTCACTTACAGCTAAAGAATTGTTCATATGATTTCACCATTCTTCTTAAAACTGCAGTGTTTCATTCTGTATCTTTCAACCTAGAGACAAGTTGGCATTAACACAGCATTCCCTTTTTATGAATGCAATTGCATGCTCTGTTGTTGACCAAACAACTGACAGAACAAGGAGACTTTGCATACCAATCTGTCATAGCAAAAACAGATCAACAGTTTGATATCTTCACAAAAACAGATGATCCCTAGTACTTTTTCATAGAATCAGTTAACTGCTTTAATTATTAAAAAACCCTGAGATTTTGAAGCAAAATTGAGCATAACATATCTCTTTATCTAGTGAAAAATTATATGTACAACTGACTAACCAGAGAATATCCCAAAATGAGTATTCAAGTCATTCTTTTAAAGACTACTAGGTAGTAAGTTCCTGAGGAAAGATACATGCTGGCTGACAACAAACCAATAACAAAAAAATTACCAAGAAAAAATTCTTGCCCATTCTTGAGTTAATTCTATTGACATGTATGTAATGAATGCTGTTTACTTGCCAGAAAATTAAACAAATAACAGGCACTGCTTTAGCAAATCACTAGCTGTCTCAAGTGTTTTTCATGAGTTAATCTTTCTTTTTATGAATGTAAGACAGAAAAAAAAAGGAGATCTTGCAACCAATAATGACATCTGTGATCTCCTTCTGTGTGTTCTGCAATGGTGAAACACTGCCAGGAACTATAGCAAGGGACAGGGTTGCCATGCAGCCCAGCAAAACAGTCCCCTGAAAAGGCATGCTGACCCACTTTCAAGTACCAGCTCTTGCTGACCCTTTGTTGAGTGCGACGTTCTTCCAAGTTTTTGTTGTTTTCACCCTTTCCGTTCTCGTTTCTAAAGGAGCAAGCCTGTCTCTCTATTTCTTCTCATTTTCTTCTTTCTTCCCCAGTATGCATGGAAGAAAGGCAGATTGTTTCCTGTGACTGTCTTTGCTTTAGTTAATGTAAAAAAAAAAAAATCTTCCACCCCTTCCCTTTTTAAGAACATGCTGTGGAAGAAATATGGATCTTGCCATCAACAAAATTATGATACAATTCCTTAAGGAACTCAGTCTGATCAGAGTAATTAATCTATGAAAAACCATACTTTAATTGTTACTCTTGGCAACAGTGAAGGATAATAGTGTAATATTATACTAAATATTGCCACGTGCAATAGTAAAAAACCTGTTTCAGTCTTGCCAGCAGTGGTGTGCAAACCCCCTTTTGAATTCAGGTTTGGATGTTGTGATTTAATCTAAATCTTTTGCTTCTCCTTCTTCCAAAACCAACAGAGGTTTAAAGAGAGCTGCATTTTTATTGGAACCATTTGCTCAGTGTAAGTTGCCAAAATAATTTAGTTAAAACTAGTGCTTTTATTTGGGTTAAGGTTGATTCCTGAGCTCCACAGAGGTCGAGGCACTTAGTTTGTCTTCCTCTTTTTCAGCTTCACCACGGCGTCTAAAGCGGAGCTCAGCCAGCTCAAGTTGTATTTTGTGAATCCCAGTCCCTCAGTTGAGCTTATTTATGTTTGTGACTTTGCGCAAGTGGAGGAGAAACCTTTTTTCAGCCCTTTTCTTCACTATTTATCTGCTGCAATGCATAGAAAAATGTGTGGCTCCAAGGATTCAGAATAAGCAGGTTCCAGTGGTGCAACTGTGCAAGTTCTGCTGCCAATGCTGCTACTGCTGGTGTGTTAGTGTGACCTCTCCTTGGATAATGAGTGACAGCTGCTGTGAAATGCCTCACAGGGTGTTTGCCTCTCTTGGGCAACAAGTGGAAAAACATAAAAATATAGAATGTATACAATTACAGATAAAAAATGCTTTACTTTATGCTACTTCAAAAGCACTGTTTGAACTTCAGATAGCTCCAACAAAATGATAATAAAGTCACAAATTCCTGCCAGAACTTTTTAAATCCTGGGAAACATTTCCTAATAATAAATACTGTAATGTTATTGCAATTAAGGAAGTATCTATTTCTCACTATGTATGTGTTATGTGTGTGTGGATGCACTGGTAAATGGGACAAAACTAGGCTCTTGAATGTCAGACACTTCATGTGATGAGGGGGATTGAGTCAAATACCCATTTCTAAATCTATCCTCTGCAGTTAGAGCCTGGTTTGGATCCAAAAATGAAAGTGGTTTTGGTTTGGTTTCTATTCCATTTCAGCAGAAATGTCATAGGTCAGAATGATATATTAAAGATGCTTTATGGTAGCAGTGCCTTGATCTGAAATAGATTAAAGCTAGGCTTCAGTTTTAAAGTGAAACCAGGGTAAAGATTTGATGGTTCTTGTATATTACACTCTCAGGAGATCCTAGCACAAACAGTTCAAATCTCATCTTAATAGAAGTGTTGAAGTCTTGGGTGGAATTCTCATGAAAAAAGAAACAGAAATAAGCCATTCTGGTTCTTTTTTTTTTTTTTTTTGAAAGCAGTAAGAATTTCATGAATGGAAATCGGAAGCCAATCTGTGTTGAAATGAAACGTATGCATCCATAACTCATGCATATTAACTTATCCTGAAAAATACAGATCTTATTTAATAGCACTAATGTTTGCCTCTGCTTTCATTACAAAAGAGTAAAGAAGTTAAAAAGATGTAGCTTTAATACAAAAATACAGGACTGTACAAAAGTTTGGCAACCTACATGACAACTGACTGATTTATGTATGATTTCTGCCCCATTAAAAGTCCTGATAGCTCAAGATTTGATTTTATTCTGAATGTGACAGAAATCTTGAACATAAATAATGTAGGGTGAATCATACAAAACAGAAACTTGAAAATACTGTTTTGTAATTTTTAATCAAAATTGTCAACAATTCTGAATGAGAACATGGTCTGAATCTAGAAATTGTTTTATCTTCAACTCTAGACTATTTTATCAGAATACTAGCTATACAAGGAAAAATGAAAACCCATTAATTCACTTAGTTTGCCAGCACCACATGAAATAGGACTGAAAGGGACTAAGGAGACCTGGTCAATGCATTTTGTAGCTGTCATTTTTGGGTTTAATCATTCTAAGAGGTTTTGCTTATGAAAGAGAATACAGGCCCATTCAGTTTGAGTCTGAAAGGTCTCAAAAACAATGCACAACACAGGGATAAACAAACTACTTGAGATTATTTATTCTTCAGAAATATCAAAGATGATGCCTCTGATGGTAAAAAAGAAAGGAAGCTCTCACCCTTATAACCAGCTGCATTGGTTTTCCAGTCGTTAGCATTCAGATGTCCTGCACGTGAAGTCCTGACAATAATATGCTGTATGTCTCTCCAGGTCAGAAATGGACTATGAGAAAGGGGAAAGACAAAGTGACAGATCAGACATATTATCCCAGAATGTAGGGATACTAGGTCATGTAAACTAAAAAGTATCCAAACCAGAAGAACCCTCATTTCACTTCACTGCTTTCCTTTGGCCCATTCAAAAGAACATGTCCTAACTTTACAGAATTACTGCATAAAATTATGTATACAGCCGGGATGTTTGTGTTAAGCAGACTATAATTATATATGATAATATTAAATAAAATTTAAGGGAAGACGAAGGAGTACATTTCACACAGAGGCAATCTGTATGACCACAGCTACTGTATGTTAACTATGCTACTGTATGTTATCTACCTTGACCAAAGGGAAAAAAAAGCAAAATGGTTTGTTAAAAACCTCTACTAAATCTTACTGTGTGTCAAGCTGGCAATTCCTTTAGACTTTCAGCTCCTATTGAAGCTATTTCAGGTGGCTCTGTTGCTATTCATCTGTCTATTATCCCTGGTCTTGGAATTCACTAAAGGTCTATGTGCATTCGTTGAGAAGTCCAAGCAGTCAGCACTGAATCTGAATAATTACAGAGCAAGTGACTGATTACATAGATGTGTAATCCTTTAAGAGATTCTTATTAACCTGACTACAAGGAAGGTGAAAGAAAGTGTCTGCATCCTCACTATGACATTAATATCCATTTATCTTGTAGGACTAGACCAAAACTTTAGGGGTTATATTCTTCTTCTTTCTCTTAGATCCACCCCAAGGAGAATTTCCTTTCTTAGAAGATGGTGCATGGCACTCTGTTGTAATGATGAAGATAGACTAGAATGAAGTTTATTGGCTGTTTCCACTGTCCAGAACTAACTAAGGCAATCACTGAAAACCTGGGAAACCTTCGTTCAGTTCCTTAACACATATTGTGTCTCTCAGACCAAGAAGTCACTTGGGCCAGCAGGCAAGTGACTTATTCCTGGCACTTATCTTTAAGGCATGATACTCAGGTTCTGCTACTACTTGCAGGTAAAAACTACACCAAGGCAACAACCATAAAATATGGGGAAGATCAACCCGTAGGTGACTGGTGAGTTGGTCACTTTCAGGGGTGAGTGGGACATTGCCATCACATGCAGGGACTCTACACTCTTAAACCAACACATAGTGGAGTTACTAGAAATTTCAGTGAGAAATTTCTTTGGGAAGCAGACACAGGGTAACAGCAAACATGCAGAACAATTATACAAGTCCCCCTGACAGTGGAAGACAAAAATTTCACTCATCTCTCTGTCTGATGTACACAAATTGGCATCCTGCATGCATTGTTTCACATCTACCAGAACTTGTTTTGTCAAAAGAATATCTTTTTGGAAACAGTTGTGCAGTCAGTGATTTATGATGCTTAAATATGGAAGTAGAATCCTGCTTATCCTGCAAGCTGAAATCAAGCTATTAGGAAGCAGTCAGTGAATATATGTGATAATCTATACAAAATGATTCAAGATGCATCAAATTTAGGTTTTCAGGTGACAAATTTCAGCTCCCACAAGCTGTAGCATTAGGAGAAGGCAGTAGGGATAAAGAAGTTATTGCAAACCTGCAGTCTACTTGTTTACAAAAAACTTGCCCCTAGCCTATCCTCTGCATGCACATAGACATATATTCATGGTTATTAGCCATTGGAAGTTCACCTGTGTTGGCAGATTTACTGAAAATAAAAGCGAATTTTGGAACCATGGTCTGTAATTCCATATAGGAGAGAAAAACTTGGGACTTATAGGACATTCACTCACATATAACTGAGTTCTACACATTTTACTTTCCAACAGCTTTGTAATCCTTATCCCTGAAAACAAATAGGAGTTGCCTAAAAACATCAGACTTCTTTTATGTAACAAGATGGTAAGGAATAACGCAGTCAGTGACCAAACCATTTAAGTATACATATTCTTCTTGTTTCCTTTGCAGTAATATATGATTTTAATTCTGATTGTATCTTTTCCATTGCAGAGTACTTCCCAGTGGGTGTGTGTGGACCATGGGTATGCTGATGTAGCCTAGCACCTTTCTACCTACAGCTAGGACACCACAGGAGTCAGCATGTATTCCTCTAGAGTCAGCACAGGAAGTCCTGTCTATGCCTGTTGAAACAGGAAGAAGAGATGGAATTTTCTGAAGAACGAAGATGACTTTTAAGTTATTTTCTTATTAATTGTAGCCAGAATTCTTTTGTAATTCCTTCCAAGATCTATCAATTCATGGCCATTCAATCTCTCCCTGGTTTTGGCTACAAGATATAAGGGTATTCCATGTTTAAATTATTCTGTTATTTTTAAGGAGAGCTGATGCCTTGTCCCTGAGCACTTATTAAAGCATTAATATGCCCATAGATACATTTTTTTTCTTAAAGTGGAATTTCTCACACTAGACAGTTGGACTAGAATTACGGTAATTGTTTATCCAGCTGAGCTGGTAAAAATGACTGAAAAAAAAAAGCAAAAAGAAAAGTCATGGAATGTAAGGAGCATTAAGGGTTTGTAAGATAGGGTATGCTTGGACAGTCACGTAACATGCTTCAAGAAAAAAAATCAATAGGATTTTATACCAGGTCAGGAATTTCACTGGGAGGCTGTGTAAAGTCTTAGAAAAACATGTTTCAAACCTTCAGGAAGACCTCCAGGAATCCCAAGAGCTGCATTCTTTATAATCTGGAATCTAAACAATCTGTTATTCTATAAAGCAAGCTGTCCATGCTACTGCTGAAAAATAAGGCACTAAAATACTCCTCTCAACTTCTAAAGGAGGGATTCAAGATAGGGCACACTCAACTGATTATTTAAAGAGGAATGATGAATCTAATTATGCCTAGATAAAGGATCTAAAGATATAGCAGTCTTCCCTTGATAATACCAACCTTTCATAAATTTGATTTAGTCAGTCAGTAAATAGATTATGTATCAGAATCATGTGTTTTTTATTTTTTGTTTTTTAACAAAAAACATGGCAGATCTTTAAAACTGAGCCATTCACTGTTGATCTGCCATCTTAATCTAATCATATAAATATAATGTAAGAATTTCTGGGGCAGAAAACCTTGATCAAAGGTCTGATTTCCAGGATATGACATAGTATATAGTTAAATTAGTTTGTCTCTTACGCAACTTCCAAATCTGCTTGCTTACTGTATAATTCATAGGATTTTTATGTTTTCTTCTCAAGAAATGGCAGTTTGGGCATATTTATATCTAAAAGATTTAACAGCATAAAAACAATTTGGTAGCCTTATATAGGACCTTCACTATACTAGCAACTTAACTATTTCCAGAGCGAAGTTTTCTCTCTACAGTAGACAACTCATTTGAAGCCAAATAGGTCTGTAATTGTGCTGCCACAATTTTTTTCAGAAACTTTAACAAAAAAAGAGAAAAAAAGAAAGAAACTGGATTGATGTCAAATAGCAGTACATTTGGAGAAAGAAGAGGGATTGGGGTATTTTTTGGGTTTTGTTTTATTTTGTTTTGTTTTTTTAAACAAGATAGTCTAGCAGCCAATTTTAAAGCATCTTGAAAAATCACAGTATTGGTCAAGTATTTGTAAAACATGTCAAAATTGGATCTTAAGGGAGTAAACAGTTGTTTGCTAGCCATGTGGGCCCCAGATCCAGACAAGATGTCACTGATGTCAGCTGATTTACCAGTTGATTAATCTCAGAAGAGTTAATGGCTAAACATCTTGAAATGAACAAATGCATTAACAGGAACAGTACTAACTCTGTTTGATAATGGATTGATTTCAAAAAATGGGCAATTTCCTTCCAGAAAACTTTTTTTCAATGTCTCATCTGAAATTGCCTTGGGATTACACATACCAGACAATGCTCAAAATCAAACCAGAATAAGCAGAAGTGAGAACAATTACATACAAAAGTGCTTGTACAGCAGCCAAAAAATAATGAATCTTGTGTCCTTAACCAATAGTTATACTCTAAGGTACAGGCTTCTCAAAATGTTTAGGAAAGGAGGCAAATGAGAAAAAATGAAACAGGGCAAATATGTTAAATTATAGTAATAATGTGCAATTTAAATATATCTTTAAGCAGGTTGCTTCTAGAAATAGTAGACCACCATTTCTGACCAAATATGATTTCTTCATTCCACAACTAGTCTTACTAGTGGCAATTAGGCTAATCCTGGAAATAGCAAAGTATTCAGACTCTAGTTTTTTGCATAAAGATACTGTGCCAAACATAACTTTCAGAATAAATAATTGGTGCAAGAAAGACAATTAGCAAAAATATCTCTCAATGCAATAAACAAATAGGGTGATGCTTGGTTTTGGGTTTTTTTAGTAAAATGATATCATTAGCAACATGAATAATGATTGCTTCATTATCTTCATAACCAGTAATTTGAATGTGACAAAGGCGGCCTATCTGAAAAAATATTTCTTGCCAAAATAGCAGAGTCTAATGAGAATGGCTGGAAGAATACAATAAACTTTTCTCCAGAGAATCAAGGAAAAATACAACATTACAGGGCAGATTAAGAAGAGGATCGCCATTCAGTTTGCAAGTATTAAATAACCTTTTTTGGAAATGTTGGCTATGAGAGAACGGACATGGATTAATTATTGCTATAAAAAAGGAGTCTCTGTGCCCTAGACATCTTTTAGAGCAGCAGGATATAATTTTCATCAAAAATTTCTACATAGCACAACCCTTAAGGGCTTTATGATAAATTCATAAACAAAATATAAGAAATAATTGCCCGGTTTATTCACACATTCCTATTACTTACAAATCAGCTGAATTTTCCCATGAGATCTGCAACCCTACTACCTGTCTTAATGACTCCATGGTCAGGAATATTGGCTGAAGTGTCCCAATATTTGCCGAATTTCACTGTGGAACTACACACTGAATCTGTCCGTTTCAACAGTCATGAAGTAACTTCAGTAAATCGCTCACATTTGAACACATTAATCTTAAGTATCTCAAGCTCACAAATTCTACAATATCATAATTGTCCA